TTTGAAATATTGAATTTTTTCCCACTGTGACTTGTCAGGAAATGTTTAAGACTATTGGAATTTTATGTTTCCTCTATACTCTTTGAATCCCAGTGAACCAAGAGCAGAGTCACTTCCATTGGCAAGTACACACAGGCAAACAAGCCAGCAATCACCTCAATTCACCATTGTCATGATATACAAACACTAGCATCCCTATGGCGATGTACTATCATGTTGCAGATCAAACCTTTTCACCACAGGTAACTAGTGGTTCTCAACCTTCCTGATGCTGCTACCCTTTAATACACTTTTCATGTTGTGATGACCCCTAACCATAAAATTATTTTGTTGCTACTTCATAACTGTAATTTTGCTAGTTATGATACTCAATGTTATATCTCATAAGCAGAAGATCTGATATGTGACCCCCAAATGACTGTGACTCACAAATTGAGAACTACCAAATTCTTCCCAATATGTATTTATTTAGTAATACTTATATGATTAAGAATTAGCAAGACAATACATTTGCTTTTTATGAAAGAGGTCACCTGATGAGTTAATTTCTTTTACAAAAGAAGCCACAAAATAATTAAATGATGAAATGAAAAGTAGGAAAATATAATTTTATATGAAATTATTCTTCTTTTAAAACTGAAGTTTACTCATTATCATTCTCAGTAAGAATTCAAAATCCTCTTAATATCTAATTATTAGTTTCAGTTGCCAATGGCAAACCCTAATCTGACCTTGGAGAACCACTGAATCATACAAATCTTCTAACATATGCTTCCGAAGACACACTTCCAGGTTGTCTCAAGGTAAATGCTACATTTGTTCTAGGGTCTATGCATATCCTAACTACTGAATATACGCAACACTGTCTTGCCAATATTAGTAGATTTATTCTTTTTGCCACGTGCTGCTATAAAATTGTGTCATGCCCCAACTATGAGCCTTTTTCTTTTCTTATACACTCACAACAGAGTTTTAGTAACTGAAATACAATTAAGGCAGAGTTGATCATGATTTTTCTATTTGGATGCATTTCCTTGTTTCAATATTAGAAATCATTAAGTAGGATATAAAACAAAATTTTGCTCTGACTGTTGTTTTTTTTATCCATAATTCAGATGAAGTTCTGTATTATTGATTTGCTGTTTATCCCTGAAGAGAGATTTTTGCATCCAGAAACCAATGTCAACTCAATGAATTTATTCAAGAATATAGTCATATCAGGGCAGATATGAAATGATGAAGTATACTTATTTATTTCAGTATTGTTTGAAATAATGAGGTTGAAATAACATGAGATTGGCTCTGCAGGCTACACACTCTCCTTTACTGTAATATGTGTGAAGTTCAATTTCCTCTATTACATATGGATTCCTGGTAGAAATGGGTAACTAAGGAAATTCTTGAATAATTGAATAATGAGCAATTAAAACTAGACGTATTTTAGCTTGATAGGTAAGAGGTGACAGGTCCTTATAGTTATAAAATAAGGAAATTTCACCATTTTGTGAGTTGGCAATGCTCCTATTTTGTCTATGTGTAGAATTTTGGATTAATTCACATTGAACATCTAAAAATAATGGTCACACGCATTGTCAATCTGATAACACCAGAGTCCATCTACGGGACCACACTGCCCAGAGTGCTGTGGGAACAGCCAAACATCACGTTAAGAAGTAAAAAGGTGGTTTGACAGAATAAGCCAAGCCAAGATTGGTACTTTTATTTTATTTTGCTGTATTTCATCTACCTTAGTTTTATGTGTATGGCTTTTTGTTGCCTTAATGCATGCCTCTGTACTGCATGCGTGCACTGTGACCTTGGAGACAGAACTGGAGCTACAGATAGTGTCATCATACCAGTACTGGGGAGCAGAAAGGAGTCCTCTGGAGGAGCCATCAGTGCTCTTACACATTGAGCCATCTATCTCTCCAGCCTTAAGCACAGCTGTTTTATCAGGAAGTTTTTCTAGCTTGGAAGTTTTGTTTTATCCAGTAAGGATACAACTGTTTTATTAGGATTTCATGAAATGTTTTTAATTCCTTTACTACATTTCTTTTCTTCAAAATATAGTGCTGAAAGCATATTCGGAGACTGAAATGTGGCTATCTCGGCCTCCATGAGCTAAGTCTGACCCCAAAAAGCAAGGTTGCCTTTCTGTTGTTCTAGTTCAATACTATAGCTCATTTCCCATAAAAAATCCATAAATCCCATTTATAAGCAACATTTCACATGTAAAAAAAAAAAAGAGGGAACTCTTAAAAAGTCAAGGAACTAAGTACGTGATTTACATAGGCATGAACTAATTGACACATAACATTCAGAAACAAGTCAAAAGTAAAACTTCAACAGTTTTCTTATTTTCCTATGAGTGCGAAATAGGAAATCTCTTAGAGATATCCACGACATATGGAAAAATCACCTTGTTGTGATACTGTTTTGTGGACAAAGAGGGGGAGATTATTGATGGGACTCTTTTATATCCATTTATTTTGCAGGATACAGTTTTTCAGAGAAGGATTACTTTAATATCACATCCAGATTCTATAGTCCTTGGGAGAGCAATGCCTAAGGTGGGACAGAAAATAGGATTTCGCTGACACTGTCCAATGTGCTCCAAGGCTTTTGGCCAGTTACTGAAGTAGATGTTTCCCAAATCCAAAAGTGCCTTTGGTTATTCATGCTACTCAAATCAAAACATTATGTGAAAATAACAAAAAACATTGCAATGGATTGTAAATGAATTTGGGCATTAAATCTCTGTGCTTTGTGTTTGATCAATGATTTTTTAAAAAAATTCTACAACATTGTGCTATTTTACAGGCATTTGCAGCATTCCTTTGTTTTCTTCTTTGTCCCTAAAACATCACCTACCTAACTGCCGGAACATGAGCAGAAGGATAACAATAATAGACCTGATGAAATGAATGAAGAAAAACCACAAGGCCTTAATCTAGTACAAATAACTAGAGGCAAGTAAGGAATGCTGAGAGTCAGGTAAACACTCTTCTCTCGGAAAGAGCACACCAACTGAGTATCTAACCAAATGCTCAGCCCTGAAAACACACATAAACATGGCATTATCTGGAATGAGCAGTTTACACTTAGGAATATGTGTGTACGTACATACATATGCATTGATATTTCTAATAACAAAGCAAAAAGGCTGTGGGCTAGAAATACAGAAGAAGGGATATATGGAAGGGTCCGAAGTGTGTGAAGAGGAGCAGAAAATGTAAGTCAACTATAATCTTAAAATTTTTTAAAATGTACTAATGTACAGTGCATGATTTGAAAAGGTGTTTTGGTTGACTTTCATTATTTGATGTTTTCATTGCTTGTCTTTCACAGATTTATCTGAAGTTTTACCAAAATCAGATCTCTATCCTGTTATCTTCTGTCCCAAGAAATTCTTTTACAAATTGCTAACATTAAAAAAATTCCTTACACTTTGGCCAAATTGTTAATTAAAAGGACCTAATTTTTGCTTTTAAGGCCTTTAGGAGCCCTACAGTTTTAGAACAAACAAACAAAAACTCAAAACTACGCTGATTAACTATGAGGCAGTTTGAACATACTTTTCTTTAGGGTTTGAGAGCTTAGCTCCAAGCTGCTTCCACTGTCCCCATTTTCGTGAGTGCAGTCCTGTTATATTTTCAAGTTAGTTTGGTATAACATAATTGTTTTGTTTTGTTTTTCTTGATTTTTGTTTTAAGACAGAGTTTCTGTGTATTACAGCCTTGGGTGTCCTGAAACTCTAATTGTAGACCAGTGTAGAGAGAAGCCTTTTCCTCGTCAGCCGCTTTGGTTTTTCCCCACCAGTCGCCTGGGCTCTGCCGCGTTGTAGTCCACAAATAACACACAAGACGCTGTGTTAATTATGAAGCTGTTGGCCGTTAGCTTGAATTCTTACTGCCTATCTCTGACTTAAGTATTTACCCCATAATTGTTATTCTAAGTATTTCTTTTACCGGAGAAAAGGCCTGGACTTCTTACCCCTTTGCGGCTACATGGTGACTCCCTGTGTTTCTCCTACCCAGAGTCCTCCTCGATTCCTAGTCCCACCTATCTTGCTTCCCTATTGGCCAAGAGTGCTTTATTGACATATACACAGGACTTCCCCATCAGACCAGGCTGTCTTCAAATTGAAATAGATCTTCTTGCCTCTGTCTCCTGAGTACTGGGTTTAAAAATGTGTGCCACCATGCCCAGCTGGGATAATATAATTCTTATGGACTTATTGATCCCTAAGCCTTAGTTGTCTTCATTTGTGTATTCAAATTTCCTCTGAATTTTTCAACCACACATTTTTTATCTTCTATGCTTTCTAAATTGCTACTGTGTTATTTTAATGCCTTTACACTTTATTCTCCTCAATCTTTGTCTTTTGCCTGAGAGAACTAAATCACTCCTGTTATTTTGAGACAGCTTCCTCTATAAATGAACCCGAACTGTCAAACCTTTGATTGTGCTCCTATTTTGAGAAATATCTTAAGAAAATCATCTGCCAGTATCTCCAGCGGTTCACTTCTGAGATTTACCATTTTCAAATTTGTTCAGATATTATGAGAAGTAATTCTAATTACAGTAATTAAGAGCATTAAAATATACATGTATCTGTTATTCAGAATTATATTCAATAATGTAATAGGGGAAATGTAATACTTATTGTAAAGTTCCTTATACATGAGACTTTAGCCAGGATAGCTCTCAGTTCCTTTTAAAGGATTATACTAGCATGTATCAATTATTCATAATACTGAGCATCATTATGACAGTTTTATACATTTATGTCATACATGTTGGCCATGTTCATTCCTTTATAAGCCTCTTTCATGCTAAAAATATTCCTCTCCCCAACTTGTCCCTCTGCTATTTTCATATCTTCTTTTGGTGACCTAGTGAATTTTATTTGACTTGTTGGCATCTTTTTAGAGTAATTTATATCTAATTATTAAAATAGTTTATGGGAAATCTGAGGTTAGTTTATTTTTTTTCCCTCAAGGATGACACCCAACTCCTGCTTCTCATGTCTCTGCCTTACAAGTGCTAAGATTATAGGTATGTGCAACCTGGTTTATATGATGCTTAATAAGCTTTTGGTATCTCCATAATAGCACCCACACAGTAAGATCAAAGCCAAATTGAAAAAGCAAAATAACGGGTTTATTTGAACAAAACAGCTCCTGGATGAATTCTCCAGTCCCAGAGATCCAGATTGGAAAATTCACATGCCTGAACTAAAGCGAGGAGTTCATACAAGTTGCAGGCAAGGGGTAATGAGGTCTCTGCCACAAGCTTGGTTTATGATTAATTATAGTCAAAGCTGAACCCTTTAGGCAGGGACTTGGGTGACTGCCAACTTCATGGGCTGAGCTGCTGTAGCCACGAAGAATGCAGAACTGGAGTTTTTAGTGCATTCCCTTTGTTGGAGATTCTCAAGTGTGTTGTTTGTTGGGGGGGTGGGAGGAAAGGAAGGGGCTTTCTGGATCAAGTGGGAGTGAGTGGAGCTTCCACCCAAATGGTGCTGAGGTTCAAACCTAAGACTCCACTATTGCTATGGAACCATTATAAGAGTTAAGCTGTTGGTGGCATCTCACATGTAAGTCCCATTGTTTCATATTTGGGGATATGCTGTCATGCTGCTCATTGTTGTGGTTAGTAGACACCACAGTGGGACAGAACTATTGATTGCTTTTGTTCATGGTTAGTTTCCCTTGCACCTGCAAGTACTATAAGATGTAGTCCTCATGACAAGACTTTCCAGTCACTGACAGCTAACTTCCTTAAGGTTGCAAGGTGGCCAATATTCATTCAACTGATACTTGCAATGTAGGAATTTCCTCCATCAGACTGTCTAGTGGCCATGTCTGTGGGGGGTTTGTAATAGATGGTAGGAGGACCCTGGACATTATGAATGGTGTCAGTACCAAGTAGGTCATCTTGTGTTGTCTATGAAGTCTAGGAAAGCAAACTAGGGAAGCAAACCAGTAAGGAGTCTTCCTCTATCAGGACTTTGCTTCAGTTTGTGCCTCAAGTTTATGTCTGGAGTTCATGCCTCATCCTTAGATGGTAGAACATAATGGGCCAGTCAAATGAGTCCTTTCCTACACTGAGTTGCTTTGGGTCATTGCGATTTGCCAAAGCAACAGAAAAACACCCTGTGCATATAGGTCAGTGACAAGTTACTTTTGGAGACATCTTGGTGCCACTCTCTATCTGGCAGACTTTTATCCTTATGATAAGAGTACAAAGCACTTACAAAACAATTGTATAGCCCTTCCATAAATGAGAAAACAGAGACATTAATTTTGATTATTAGACACCTTATTAAGTCTTGAGTGTCCACTAGTATGCTGGTCTACTTTTGGGGAAGGGTTGTTAATTTTCAAAGAGCCTTTTGACTAAATACACTGGGTAAGTAAGAGAACCATTTTTCATCACAGGGAATTGATCTCAGTACTTTGCACATGCCAGGCACATGTTCTACAGGTGAACTATATCAAAAGACTACTTTTTTGAAGAGTTTCCCAGGTTGTACTTGGATTTGCTCTGCAACCAAATAAGATGGTGACCTGAATACCTTCACTGAGCCTCTTGATGCTCTTATTACAAGTCTAAGAAAGCAGACCTCACAATGGCAATTGTTTTCAATAAGAATGTCTCTCAATAGTTTTATGTATTTAAATGCTAAGTTGCTAGAGAGTGCCACTGTTTGAATAAGAATGTCCCTCAATAGTTTTATATATTTAAATGCTAAGTTGCTGGAGAGTGCCACTATTTGAAAAGATTAGAAGAATTAGGTGGGATAGACTTGTGTGTCCTTGTTGGAGGAAATGTGTCACTAGGGGTGGACATCAATGATTCAAAAGTCCATGTCATGCCCACACTTTCTCTCTATACCTACAGATCAGGATGTGGATCTCAGTTATTGCTGTAGAATGGTCCCGCATGCCACCATGTTTTCCACCATAGTTGTGGTGATCCTCTTAACCCTCTTGTCCAGTTGGCCATCAGTACAAGAGGGACAGAAGCCATAACAGAAAACTTTGTATGCGGCTCATGAGCAGGAACAGAGACAGCCCTCTGGGAGACTGCTTTCCTTGAAACAACTCAACTTTATTCAAGAGTATAAGGAATATATAGGATTAGGGTGCCTGATTTGCATTAAACACCACACTCTTATAATAAGGCTTCTAGCACAAGCCTTAGTTACCAGATGTACATCAGGGGATGCTTCTAGCTGGAATCTGTGCCAAGGGTCTAGCTAAAGATAAATCAGGCATCGATGTCTTAGAGACAGGTTTCAGCTAAGGTCAGTCTTCCAGACTCATGGATATTCTACTGACAAGGCCAGGTAGAGGCAGGGAGTTCTGCTGGGGAGGGAGAGAGTGCCATGTAGCTAAGCAACTGAGATAAGCTGTCAGGCCTGGAAGGCTGCCACCTCCACTAGTCAGCAAAAAACTTCCAACGAATAATAGTGAATCAAATCTCTGAAACTATAAGGAAGTTCCCAATTAAATGCTTTATTTCATAAGAGTTGCTTGGTAATGTTGTCGCATTGAAACAAAAGAAGTCACTAAGATACTTTCCTTGTTCAGTTCAATTTCAAAATCTTCACAAAGCTTTGCATTGTTTTTGGTAACATTCTTTGGTGCATATTTCTTAGTGATTGTGTTTAATATCTACCATTATATTGGTAAATTGTTAGACAGAAGACAATATTTAATTCTTTTAAACCCTGCTTTTGTAATGTTTCCCATTGAATACCCATGTGTGCATGTGTGCACACATTCACACAATGCTCTCACTCACACATACACACACACACAGAATGAGAAATAGAGACAGGCACAGAATGAGAGAGAGAGAGTTCCTCAGCCTAGATGTCCAGGATGTTCATAATAACTGGTGAACATGCTGATTTCCACAGAGACCACAAAATCTGCAGCCTCTAATGTCTGCACACAAAACAACATCAATCCAGACTCCTATTTAACATTTCCTAGACAATGAGACTTTTCAAAGAAATGAATGCAAGCATTTTTCCCTCAAAAGTATTATCAATCTCACTTCCTAACAAAGTTGAATTCACATAAATCACCAAAGGCAATAAAAGTCCCAGAACCAAATATAGTTCATTGACTAAGACTTCATTGACTGTAGTTAGACTATTACTCTGTCCACCACTTAGATGAGTTAAGCTATGATACGATGCTTTATTGATAGCCTTCGGCTGTGCATACATTGATCACTCAAACTTCTCATGCTTGACATTTCTTTGATCTGTTCTGAGGCATTTGGCACTTTTTCTCCTTCAGTAGGAGAGTTTGGTGTGAGTAGACTATGATACATTTTAATGACAGTAAAAAATACTATACAACATCAAGTCAAATATTCTCATTCTAGCTTAAAGTATCTGATAGTAATTTAGAAAACAAAATGTACAGCTGCATTTGGTTGCTTGCCTATTGACTAACACTTGCCTCAGCAACTTTGTACTTTGATATTAAATTGTCATATTGCTAAGGATAAATTGATACTTGAACCGATTCACAGCACTGATATCAGTGACTACTGCCAAAGTTTTCCATGTGAGAGTAATCAATAAGAAACAATTGCATGTGAATGATTTCATAATATCGTTGGTGTGGTTTTAACTTTTGCATTATTTTCAGGAACAGAAGCATTCTAGTTAAATGGTGTTTAGAGCATGCCTCTAGGAAAAAATTAAGATAATAGCATTTCTCCTAACCTCAAAATGATTCCAAAGTTAGGCTCCTCTACATACCAAATTAGGACTTCATTACCTTAAATATTCACACACAAAGACACTGAATTTTATCATTATCCGTTTTACCTGGGCATGAGAAAGTTTAGAGTAAACTTCAATGTTGAATGCCCTCACTTCTGATTCATAAAAGCTGTATATCAACATTTGAAATTTTGGAATATGAGGGTTAACAACAAAAGAAGGTAACAAGTGTTAATTTTGCAAAATGTTGGATGGAAGAGGACTGCAATTAATGCAATGATTAGCAGTTACCTTTGACTCCAGTGAAATACTAAGCCTGGGATAAAAGGCCTAGTATTTTTCTTTCATCATATTGATTACCTAGATTTAAAAATGTTCCTCACTGCATAAATGAATAAACATTTAAAAGTTGCTTGTTTTGTCTACTGTGTATAACAGCCAAATGGAGAAAATATTATAAGGGTGATTTTCTACTTTTTATTTATTTATAATTTCGATTTTTCTTCCATGCTTGCTAACATCTTTTTGTTTTTCACAATGAAACACAAGGAATTCTCATAAGTGAATCAAGAATCATGGGTTTACAAATTTTTGTGTATGTGGGATTTTGGTACTAAGTTCCTCATATCTTACATATGCTAGGCAAGTACTCTACCACTAAGTTATTGTGGTGGTTGCATCATAATCACTCCTGTAGAATCAGAAGTTTGGTAAACACTTAGTTTGCGTAAATTTAGAAAGTGTGGCCTATGGATATGTCCCCGGTATGTCACTGGGGGCACACTTTGTCATCCTAAATATTATATCATGTTTGATTGATGCCCCTTGAAAAGCCTGCTCCTTTTTTGAAGGAAAATGGAGGAAGAGTGGATCAGGGGCCAAGGACAGGTAGAAGGAGGAATTAGGAGGAGTGAAGTGAAGGGAATCATGGCTGGGATGAATATAGCTGAGAATAATAAAAAAATAGAAACAATTAAAAAATAGTTCATGAGTGTGATTCTGGAAAAAATTGGCATTTACATGAAAGAGAAAACTAAATATTAATAAGAATAGTGAGTTTATTTAGTCAATAAATGAATCTCCTAGTGAAAATCTCTCTAGCATTTTGTCACCGTCTATACAACCAACAGAAAAAAAGAATGAGCAAACAGCGTAAGATTATGAGGAAGGACTGTCATAAGACTAGCAAATTAGTAAAAGTGGAGACTTGACTAATAAGGGTATCACGGTGTTAATAGAGGACAGAGTCAAAGAATTGCAGATCTGGAAACAAAGAGAAGGAAACAGGGGAGGCAGTCGTGATAGAGTACACCTGTAATGGCAGCACATAGGTACTAAGAAGGAAAATTCAGAGTTCAAGAACAGCCTGAGCTATAGTACATTCAGGGCTATTCCATACCAAAAGCAAGATCCTATCTTAAAACCCAAAAGAAATATACAAATAAATTAGCTCAATTTTAAGAGGAAGAAAGAGGAGGAGGAGAAGAAAATGAAAAAGGAGGAGGAGAGGAAATGTATAAAATAAGAAAAAAAAGCATCAAACTGGAAAGTTGCTGTATCCTAAGAAAAAGAAAATTGCTGTTCTACAGTGAACATCTTTCATATGTAAAATATTTTCTATGTGTATGTAAAGACTTGATAATCTATCTTAACCTGTTATCACAATGTTTGAGGCTCCAGTATTGTACACATAACTATAATTTTGCTTTTACAGTCTTGAACACTGAACATTTACTTTTGTTCACTTACTGTTCTGGAAATCATTGCACAAGGTAAATTATTTACTTAAGGATTGAGGGTCATGATTTGACTTAAATTAGAGCCCATCTTGTTTTAAAGCCTGAATTGTTTCCTTGTACATTATGTACTCAAGTGGCATTGAAATATTAAGAAGGATAATAATGCAGGCATTCCCATTGTCCTTTCCACTGTCAGGTTCCTAGGAAAGCTTACAATGCAACATCAACTAATTGCTTGCTTGAGGTCTAATAGGAAATAGTAATGGCATTGGTAGCTCTCTGAGCACAGAGCTGCTAGGAGATTTGTACATCTAGTTCCTGGAACTTTTGACTGTTTAGCAGTAGTTGGGGCTATGCTGTAAGTCTTCTTTGGGGCAGGAGATATTTTAATTCTTGTGAAATTTATAACAGCTCATACATTTCCTCCATTCAATAACTCTCTCTGCTCGTATTCAGGAAACATCACTTATGTGTGTTGAATTGAAGGAATCTAAATCTGTTTGTTGAGACACTTACTCTATGTTTTATTGTGTGCTTGTTAAATTTATTAATACACCTATTCACTAGCAGGAAGAAACTCCTGCCCAATGTTTCTGAAACTCAAGGGAAAAGGAGAAACACGTCCTTTGTTTTTCAGGTGGGGGCTTTGTCAGGTTTGGATGGAATTTCTCAAACTTCACAGTTTAGGATAGATTCATAAAGGGATTGTTAAGATAACTTTAGGTTGGACTCAGGGAAACCAACAAAACATCATCCATGCAGTGAGGTATCTAGGCAACAGTGGAATTCTTAAAATTGTGAAAGGCAGACATAGAGTAGCTACCATAAATATGAGAGAATGCCTCTAGAAAGGACTTTGAACTTTTCTTCAAGGACCCATGATTCCTGTAACACACACACACACACACACACACACACACACACACACATACACACACACACAGAGGAAGAGAGAGAGAGAGAGAGAGAGAGAGAGAGAGAGAGAGAGAGAGAGGCATGCACACCATGTACGTGTGTGCAAGGGCCATTTTGCCTGACTTAACAAAATTTTATAACATGAAAAGTTAATAAGAATAAAATACCTTTATCAAAATAAATTTTAGAATGCTTTTCTTTCAACTTCTATGTTTTATTATACTGATTACAGATGTTTAAGAATGATTTTCAAATATTTCATAATAATGCTAAAGAAATAAAAAAAATTAACCTCAAATATTTTCGTCACTATCCAAAGCTAGCTGGTTTTCCTGCTGTTTGTAGCCAAGTATGTGAATGTGATAATCCGAAAAGTAGTGAATAAATTCTTTTCTGATAATCTTCTCAATAATGGACAGAAAAGAAGGCTTGCTTTCTCAAAGACTTTGGAACTGAATGCCAGCCTGCTCATCTTGACAGACATGCAACTGAGAAGGGCCTGTTCATCTTCCTGACAGGGATCACATTGCAAGCAAAGCCAGAGAACTGGAAGCTTGCCATCCAAGCAATTTAGGCTGTGTCTCCCAGTTCAAAAGAAACTTTTAGAAAATAAATATTTCTTGCCAGCTGTCAAACTTGTCTGCAATGATTATATGGTTGAAAAAGAAGTCAATGGTATTTTCTCATCATTACATGCAATCATTATTGCTACCATGTGCATACCCAATTGTAGTCTTATTTTGTGCCTTGAAAAGTCTGTTTCCTGCACTATAGGTTGGTACCTCAAACTCTCCTGGTAGATTAATTTTCATCTCAGTCCTTTTAAATATCTCCAGTGAAGATGGAAAACTAATGATATGTTTAAGGAAGTGTTTCTACACAAATATTTCCTAAAGTTATAGAAACTAGAAAACATTTGTTGGGCTACCAAATACATCACTATTGACACCTTCCTACACTTGAATTTCTATTCAACTGAACCGAAACTAATGAATATATCAGAAACACTCTGTACTTAAAATGTTTCAGTACAATCATTAGAACATTTTCCATAAGGGAAGACCATCAGAAAATGTTTAATTGGTAGACTCAATTCTTTCTTGGATATTAGATTCATTCTTTCAACTGAATTTGCACAGATGATCATTACAGCCTATGAGTAATATGTGCATAAAATGGTCCCTTCTCCTCATTTATACGAGAAACCTTAAAGAGCCTCCATGTGTGGGATGCCACTGTGTTCACTAGAAGAGTTAATGATGACATCTCAGTGAGGTATCAGTTAGTGTAGAGGAAACAAACCTTGACTCCTCATTGATTTTTCTTCCATTGTTGTTTTAGGTCAATGAATTTAATTTAAAAAGTTATTCACAGAGAAACCTAAACACACATTTTTATTGCTGTGTTACTCACAGCAGGCAAGATATGGGACCAGCTTAGTTGTCATTGATGAGCAAATAAGGAAAATACCTCTCTCTCTCTCTCTCTCTCTCTCTCTCTCTCTCTCTCTGTGTGTGTCTCTCTCTCTCTGTCTCTCTGTCTCTCTCTCTCTCCTCTCTCAATCTCTAAACACCCCCCCGACACACAGCGACACATTCATATGCTCACACAATGGAGCTTTATCCAGCTCCATTGAACAATGAAATTATGCCATTTTCCATGAAACTGATGGAAAATCATTATGTTAAGCACAGTAAGTCATATTCAGAAAGACAAATACTGCATATCTTCTCATATATATATGTATATATATGCATATATATATATATATATATATATATATATATATATATATATATATATGAGAAATATACAGGGAGAAACACCTCTTTCTATCTCTGGCTCTGGCTCTGTCTCTGTCTCCCCATTCAAATGCCATGTAAACATGCTATGAGAACCAATGTGAAAAGAGCTTTGGTACTCTATGAAAAGAAGAGTACTGCAGAGCACATGGTCATGGTTGCTCATAACGATCTGTAACTCTACAATCAGGAGAGCCAACATCCTCTTCTGGCTCCTAAGAGTACCAGGCACCCATGTGGTGCACAGCCAGACACAAGGCAAACTACCCATAGTCATCAATTTTTAAATTTCACAATTAATGCATTTGTGATTTTCTACATACATTATAATTCTTACTACATGAATTTCTTCAAAAAAGAAAGAAGGACAATAATGATTCAGATTTTCAATTACAATCAACCTCTACCTGTATGTTTTAATTTTTGGACTTGAACTTAAGAAGTCATCAAAGGTGATTTGGTTGCTGGACACTTCCCTAGATGATTATTTCCTAAAACTCATGTCTTGAACCCTTGACTCTGATTTCTTTATTGGGTATTGTCTAAAAGTGTGAAAGTCTTTTCTTATGCTCCTCATTTCATACAGTATCTTGTCTTTTTTAATTATTTGATAATGCCTCCCCCATCCCACTGGTAAGAAATGGACCCTTCTTTGATTCCAAAATCTGGAATTTTGGTATCCAATCATCAAGACTTTTCATACAGTAGACTTGTGACTAATAGAGGTAGTTCTCAAGGACAAAACCTTCCTACAGACCCCAGACTTGCCAGAGCTACCAGACTTAGAGGACTTTACAATTATTCAGATAGTGTTAAAGTTGCTTTGCTTCCTCTCTGTACACTGTTCATATTATTTATTTCAAAAGAATTCAATTCCATAACCAACTGGAGTCCCACGTTACTTGATAAATGGATACATGACTTTCATCATTGTGTTTCTAACCTTATTAGAAAATAAATTACGGGTGACCTTAATCATTATCATCTGTGGTAGACTGGAGGCATTCATAAGAAAATACATGTAAGACCTCCAAACATTTAAAAAAAGTTCTTTGTAGCATGTCTCTCTTTGGACCACCAGCTCCCAAACAATGACATGGAGATTTTATTAATTGTGAAAGCTTGGCCTTGGATTAGGCTTGTCCCCTAGTAGCTCTTAAAACAAATTAACCCCTTTGATATTAATCTACTTTCTGCCACATGCCTTGTTACCTCTCCTTACTACTCTACATTCCACTTCCTCACATCTGGCTGGTAAATCTCTCTCTTGACACCCAGATTCTGTCCCAGGGTTTTGCTCTCTGCTCAGCCATCCCTCCTAATTATCTATTGACCATTCAGCTCTTTATTAAAGCTGGAGAGAGGACTCAGAGGTTAAGAGTATCCCCTGCTCTTTCAGAGGCCCTGAGTTCAATTTCCAGCAACCACAGGGTGGCTCATAACCGTCTATAATGCAATCTGGTGCCCTCTTCTGGTTTTCAGGTATGCATGCAGACAGAACACTGAATATATAATAAATAGACAAATCTAAAGCAATCAGAAGGTGCCTTAGGCTGACGAGGAACAATAGGGACACATCTTTACATATTGTACAAAAAGATCATCCCAGCAGTTCTTGATGCCAGCAATCTCCAGTATATTTTTAGTAACTAGGGAACATATAGAAACATAACTCTGGTTGTCCCATGTGAGCAGATCATGATGCATTTTTGTATGAGTGATGTATTTTCAGAAACTACATTGAAATCCCTTGCTTGAATAATGCTACACTGAATTTAATTGACGATACTATTTATAAGGATTGTAGAAATTACCTCTACTCATTTATTGATATTATTTTATAAACAAAGTACATGATTTTTTTTTTTTTTGGTTTTTACGAGACAGGGTTTCTCTGTATTGTTTCGGAGGCTATCGGTCCAGCCTGGCCCCGAACGCACAAAGATCCGCCTGCCTCTGCCTCCCGAGTGCTGGGATTAAAGGCGTGCGTCACCACCGCCCGGCTAACAAAGTACATGATTAAAAGCACACAAATGCTTTGTAATAATTCAATATTACATATATACATACAATATCCAATACAAAAGTAGTGAATATATTGCATATATTATATATGATATATATCGCTGAATAATATACAATATATAATATATATGCTGTACATCATATAATATATATGCTATATATTTAAAAATTGTAGTGTTTACATATTTATTTGCATTTCTAGGTCCACAGTTGTTGGTTCTATCTACTGAAGAGGTACAGTATTGCATGAGTTAGTAGGCTACTGCACAAAGGTTCTGAAAGTTTATAGCTTGCCCTTCCTAGTTCCTTCTCTTTGCTTTCTTAATTAAGTTGTGATCTTTCAGCATTCTGCTTTGGCCACCGCATGTTATAAATCATGGACTATTATGGACTATCTCTGTGGAACAATCCATCAAAATAAACTCTGCTTTCATATGTTTTTCTGGTCAGGGTGCTGGATCACAGCATCAGAAAAGAAAGTAATGCCAAGAAGGTCTAGGCATCAGGGAAGAATATATTAATTGTTAAGTCACCTAGTCAGCAGATAAAAAACATGACCAGGAAAGGCATTTTAGACAAAGTGACCTTCAATCAAAGTAAAAGAAATGTTTTTAAAGCATGGATCTGTATTAATAGAGTTTTAAAGAGCGAGTTTTCTAAATACAGGGAAACATATACCTCTGCGAGTCCTATCTCTATGAGCATAATTTTTAAATGCTGATAGATAATGTTAATAAGATTTAATACTGTTAACAAAAATCAAAGCGTGTCTTAATTATGGCTACTACTGCTGTGATGAAACATCATGACCAAAAGCTACTTGGGGAGGAAAGAGTTTATTTCACCCACTGTTCCAGATAATGAACAGCTGAACAGCTCATCACTAAAAGCAGTGAGGACAGAAACTCAAGTAGGGAAGGATCCTGGAGACAGGAGCTGATGCAGAGGTCATGCTCACTGGCTTGCTTCCCATGACTCGCTCAGCCTGCTTTCTAATAGAACCCAGAAACACCAACTCAGGAATGGCAAAACTCAGTGGTCTGGACCCTCCCAAGTAAAACAACACTTGAGAAAATGACCTAAGGTCTTGCCTAAAGCCAGAACTTAAGTAGACATTTTCTCAGTTAAGGTTCCCTGCACTGCTGACTCTAGCCTGTGTCAAGTAGACACATAATTAGCCAGTATGAAGAGTTAAGTTTATTTTGTGCATGCAGAATAATAAGCAAATAAATTGTGATTATGTTAATATTTAGAAGGGGCAACCAGCAACTTTGTGAGACAGCAGACTAACAATTGTTACTATTAGATACCACTAGAGGTATCAATTCCTAGTCTAATCTAGCCATGGGTTTCAGGTCATCTTAGTCTTAGAGGCAACGACTGTCACTATTTCCTGTTAATTATTAAAATATTTTACCATGACATAAGGCTTGAGATTTTCTTTTAAAATTTATTATAACATCGCATAAATTCTAAGGCACATATTTGTAAGACACAATGAAGTAACATTAAAGATGTCTGTTGAACAAAAGCACCAAGAAGTTTGAAGTCTTCCCTGGGCACTGTGACTAAGTAGACTAACTTAGGTTACCTACTTGTAAAATCAAAATGTATTTGCTATCTATATGAGAAACAAGTTATGAAAAATAACTTGTCATGCACAAAACACTTACATTAGGTAAAGCAGAAAAATGCTTCAAGCAAGACTTACAGATTTGCCTTTACTGTAAAAATCTATTACTATTAATTGATTTACTATAAAGTCTAC